GGGGGGGGGGGGGGGGGGGGGGGGGGGGGGGGGGGGGGGGGGGGGGGGGGGGAGAAACAACTGCGACGAACCGACCGAACGAAAAACGTGAACACGCCAAAGACGTTGCCCAACAATAGTTAGGGCATAAGAGGTTGGACCCTTAGCGCGGCCTGAATGACCACAATAAAGGAGTACTACACAGCAATTCGTGCGGACCTCTGCTTCCGCCTGTGTCGCCGAGAGCTTGGCCTTGGAGACCGCAGTGGCCGCGACGACCTCCTTCTTGTCGTGCTGCTGCTTGTCCATCTTGGTTGACAGGGCCCTATCCTTCGTGTCGAACTGGTTCAATAGTTCCAGCTCCTGGTTTGTCGTTGGCGGCACACACGAAGCGAGGCGAGGAGGGTACCGAAACGCACGAAAGCATTTCGTGCCAGTTCAGCTGTTTGCCCAGCTCGATTTTTTGTCCTTTCTTGAGTATGGCATGTTGTAGCTTTCTGCAATCCTATCGTTCGCCGCCCCAGGTTGAGAGATCACCGAGTGAGGCAAGTCGTGTCAAACAGACCTCTGCTCTCTCTTCTATTTACTTCTACACCGTTTTCCTGTGTTCCATCTTGCCTGACGTAAAACCAGCAACTTGAGCTCTGCTGCCTTGAGGTGCGCGGCTGTGAGCATCCTCTCTTTCCTCAGGTCGTACACGGCCTCATCAAAGGCTAGAACGTTCTCCGCCGCGGCCTCCAGGATAGTTCGCCTTTCGTGCCGCAGAATCATGTCTCTCGCGGCGCGCTCCTACCGAAGGAAAGGGTGATATAATAGAAGTATATGCGTAATGTGAGCACGGCGAATGCACCATGAATACCATCGTCTTGCAGTAGAACCCGACGTGGAGATCGATACTTCTTTGAGGTCGGGTAAAGGTAGCGGCATGGGGGGAGCTTCTGCAATAACCACCGTACGTAAACGTGTCACCGCAAAGTGTGGGAATGCTCAGAAGCAACCTAGGCGTCCGACACTGGCGCTTGAAGCACCCGGCAATATTTTCGAGTGACAATGATTTTATTGCACACAATTCTATCGTCAAGGAATCAATCGCTCTGCAAAACACGAACCCGGCCGGGCTTTGTACGACGGGAGCAACGTGCTTACCTCTTCCTCGAGCGCGCTCAGCTCCCCGTCAGTCCGGCCTTTCGACCCCCTTGCAGCCGGGAGCTTGTTGATCATGCCGTCCACGTCTTTCACCATCCTCAGCGCTGCCTCTGCTGAGGTTGCTCCGGGCGAGACAGTGAGGGCGGACTCCGACGAAGGTTGTGTAGTTGCTCCCGGATCTTCGCCAGGAGAAGTAGTCGTGATGGCCTGTGTCACGCCTTTGCTGTCTGGGGGTGTTCGCGGATACAAGTCGTCGAGAGGTTGGATGGTATGCTACCGGGACGATGGAAATGCCAGGAGGTGGCGCGTGTCCTTTCGGGTGTAGATAAAACAGGCTGGTTGTACCGAACGTGTGGGAGTAAGAAACTATCCTTTCCGCGATAGGTGGTCATTGAGCAACAGCGGCATCGATCATCCATGGCCGTAGGGACGAGAATCCGACCAAACAAAACAATCTCGTTGCTGGATCCAACAAAAACGCTTTGTTTGACGCGCACCAGTTCTGACGTGCGTGACGCCCTCCTCCCCGACCGCCCCGTTGAAGCGGCATTTCACCAGGCAAACGGTGATAATCCTGTGTGTGTCGCTGTACACATGCCACCATGGTCACCAGTCATGCTTCGCTTCATGCGTTACGTGTGCGCCGGTCCATGTTCTTGCGACAATACACGCCCGATTCCCCCCCATCCCCGTATTCCGAAGGGGGTTGGGGATATTCCCCATGCTCCACTGCTAACTTGTTAGCAAGCAGCTCGAGAGATCATCGACTTGGCCAAACCTCGACACGCACCTCCGGAACCAAACGTCGCCGGTTGCAATCCCGTCCGCGCTTCCTCAGCCGCAGCCAAATCACTCAGGCTCAATATCTCTCTGCGGGGGGCAGGGGGCAGGTTCGCGCCGCCGATCGCCTTGCCCCCCCTCGCTTCATTGGCCTCGGCGGCTGACCTGCACAGGGCTGCGTAGGCGTCCAGCTCTTGCGGGGACACGTAGTCTCGCATTTCTGGCCACTCTGAAGGGTCCAACGCTGGCTCCCAGAGGTCGCCTTAATAAGGGGAGGGGGGGTTTGGGCAGCTGTGATCTTTGTCTCACCCCTTTGTCGTCCCATTGTCGTTTGATACAAGTATGCGGTGCAGAATTTCAAATACATGTAGGTTGAGACATATAGTTGAGGAGGAGAACAGGATCTCGCGAGTTGTACCTTGGAGTTAATTTTCAACAAAACTGCGGCCGGTGCAGAAAGGAAAGTGCTTTCTTAGGGAACGTGTGACGTTTCTGAATCTCATGTGTCGTTATTTGTGCAGCTGGTGGTTTTCGAACTTGGACTTAAATGAACCCTAAAAAATCGTCACATCGTACCGCTGTGCCTGTGTGTCGTGTCGGGTATACTGTGACGTTCTAGAGAGAACAAAACAATATTAGTTAGCAAATAGTTGGTGTAGTTGACGCGGTCGATGTTCGAGGCCGAATCTCTTCAGCACTTCCCGATCATATCGGTGATGGGGACGAAAATCATTGCTGTCGACCAGGCGCAAACAGGCCTCCTTTTTTGTTGCAATCCAGCTGACACGATAGGCCGCCTCAGCTGCAAACCAGCACCTACCTCCACCATTCCCGCCCTCCCCCAGCTCGGCATCGATCTGTCGCAGGCGCCTGTTGTCCGCCGAAACGGTCGAGAGAATCTCCCGCTTGATTGTCCTTAGGGCCAGGAAGCGGCTGTTGAATCTCGATCTCATGGTGTGCAGTGAGTCCTCGAGGAGAACCATCTCTCGTTGCTTTTTTACTACGTTCAGCTGCATCTCTTCCGGCACCTTTGGGATTGCGGGGCAGTGAGGCAACGGAAGACAGGAGCCGAGGGGGAGATCGAGGAGGAAAGAACGAGACAGGGAAAGGAGGGGACAGGAAGGAAAGTCACAGAAGTGGGGGGATACAGAAACGGGAGATATCACAGGGCTTCAGGGGAGGCGAGAAGAACCAGAATTGGTGGATTTGGGTCGATTCGCCGATGGTGATGTCATGCCCTGCTCGTTAGAGTCTTGAGACGCGGTCGACCCCATCCGGCGATAGCGTGGAATGCCTGCATGGAGTCGACGTAGTCTCGTCGCGGTGTCCCTGCGGCCTTCCGGGGAGGTCAACGGCCTCCGAAAAACTCAAGAGATACACCGGAAAAACCTGAAGCATCTGCTACCTCACGGTTGTCTTGTTTTGATATTGAGAAGCAGCAGTTAGTGGATAGGTGGAGATCCTGTTCATGAAGGGTGTGTACACGCTCCCAACGTCTGTCGAGAACGACTCCGACTTTTACACATGTTTTTCCAACTATTTTGTCACGATTCCGCATAGTGTGGGCACTTACTTCGTAATCGGTAGAAGACTTGAGCTTGTAGTCCCCCATGTTGGAATTGGCGAGTGCGATGGCTTCAACGTCCCTGCAACATTCCAACAAACACGGACACGGGCACGGTAAGGGCAAGGAGATTAACACGAAGGAGACCTGACGCCGCCTGCAGAGGAGAGCGGGGGATGCAGGCATTGTAAACACCGACGGTGTCGAGGCTCGACGGCCGCACACACGGATGCAGTACACGAAATATATGCCCCATTTTCCTACGTTAAAAAAGTAAAAACGCGCTTGCCTCTCAAACAACCTACCAAGCAACCTCCGGGTTAATGTTTGATCTAGACGCAAACGTGCGACATGGAAGTCAGTACTTCCCCCAGCGCGAGAGGAAACAGTCAAAAGGGGATGCATGCAATGCATCAAAATTGTGCCTGGCGTGTCTCACCGGGGATCGTCGGCATCCTCTGCGGGCTTCGCCTTGAGGAGCTTCGCAAGCGCTACCTGGCGAGCGTGCCGCTTGGCCTTGCGCGCCTCAAATGTCGACACCTGTGACCGGGCCATCGAACGGCAGCGGAGACGTTTCTTTCAGACCCCATCACTTGTCCATACGGTCCCATCAACTCCACGTGTTCATTCATTCCCTCCGTGTTAGCTATTGCAATATCATTATTCATCAACGTTTGCCTTTCACGGGTTGCTCCGCGTGTAGATGCCACGTCTACTAGGCTAACAGGTTTGGCGAGAGGGCAAGAGAGCCATAGACAAGAAAACGTGTGATAGTCCGCGGGAAGAGGTACAGTAGACAGAGTAGCACGCGCTCACCGTACAAGTATAATGTCGATATTTCAAACTACGGCGTGTGTCTTGTGCTACCTGTCCGACGTCAGCGGACGTTCACACATACCGTGCACCGTCGGCAAAATCGCAAACTAGGTACCAACCCCGCTGACTGAAACCCCGCCGTGAACGGGTGTACGACGTTAAAAATAACGACATATCTCAACCTCAAATTGGTTCTATCATATTCGGGAAGCGACGAGCTGCGTATAACCATCAGGGGATGGACTTGAAATTTCGCTCCTCGCGAGCAGAATGGACTACTACTGTAATAAACCTCACTCGGTCGCGGGGCGGGCGGTAAAAGTCACATGGGTTCACTGTAGATCCTGAAATGCTACAGCGACACTGATGTTTGTCCGGGTGTATTCAGCGCGGTTCCTGTTTGTAGTTTTTGTTTTTCTCTCGCCTTTTCCTCGGGCCTGCTTTTTCTGTCCCCACTCCCCCTGAAGCTTGCACTACCACTCGCCCCGCCCCCGCCTGAAATCGCGCTGGCGTCGGCTGCGGGTAACCTCCCTTGCGCGCCCATCACTCCCGAAGATGCCAGCCCGGTCTTGGGACGCGAGCAATCGAGAAGAAACGGGCACGGTGACGATTGGGGATTCATCAGGTTTCACGGGTGGTGAAGTGTTATAGCTAGTCCGTGGTCAGGCACTGCAGGAAGTATCACGTTTCAACGTATCAGGCAAACTGGGCGAGACTGCTCAATTGCGCCAGGTGCTTGTTGGCTCCCGTAGATACTGAGGTCCCGCGCCCCTTTTTTCAATCTCAACAGAAGTGCGGCAAGAATCGAACTACTATATCCCTCGACGGACGCACACCGTAAATTGCAGAAATTTTTCACGAGCAACGCCAATGCACCATGGAATCGGGTTTGCTATACTTTGCGCTACACTCCTATCCCGACGCAGAGCCGTGAAAATGGAGCCAGGTATCGGGATAACGCGTTACACCAAACAAACCCGTTGCACCAAGCGAAGGGCGATCCCACAAGGATGGAAATACGGATGAGCGTAACATGCATGCTTCCTCTCACCTCTCCCGTGCGGTTCCCGTTTATCTCCGCCTGTACGGCGGCCATGTGCTCCCTCTCCTCGTCTCGGATCTGCTTGTGCACCGCGTCCAGGAGCTTGCGCAGTCCCGCGCTGGGCCTCTCTACCCTGAAGCTGCTGACCTACGACCGACAAGGACACACGCCGAGGTATGCCGACAGACGGGGAGAAAGCGAAGAAATCGGCACACGAATGTAGGGGAGTCGTTGTCGTTTGCATACCTGCGACAAACTCTGCGACATGTATTTCGCTGAAAATCATTTCTGTCCATCCGAATCGATGGTGATATTCCACTTCTCTACCGATTACCGACAGACATATGCTAAGCCATTTCGATGCCCGAAGTTTCATCGTTCGTATCCGTTTCTGTTAGTGTACTTTGCTGCCTTGGAAGAGAGTGTCGCATGTATCGCAACGGACGGCGCGCGTTCTTCGTCACGTCCACATGTAATTCATCAAGGGGCCTTGCTAGATGAGCATGGCATCGAAGAATGACACTTTGTTGCCCGTTTTGTCTCTGCCTACACGGTTACTCCTTCCGTGATTGAGCGACGTTCGCATTCTGTTTCCGACCTTTGCAATTCCATCAACAAACAACAAACAAAGGTTCAACCGTGTTTCTACCAGGACCACATCCGCCCTCATTCTGTCCGTTGAGACAACAGGCGCAGCTGCACTCAAGCCCGATCTAGTCAGAGGGAAAGTAGAAGCAGAGTATCGTCCGTACTCATTCGTGAAGCGGCCAACGCACCTCGTAATCCCATTGCAACGCCTTCATGGTTATGCACTCCATCTCCACATCATCCGTGAAGTGTCGTCGAAGCTGAACCCGAAACGAATGAAGGTTGTTAGCATACCAGTCGAAACCGACGCCAGTCGTGTAACGTGAGACGGTTGCGGGTGCAAACGGGAAGGCTTCTTGCGGGAACCGACCGGAGTTGTTTCCCCCAATTACAGAGACAGTGGTTTGTGGTGGGGCTAGGGTAAATCTCGTCGAGATGGATGAGTACAGTACACGACTCACGAACACACGAGCACCCAGGACCTATTGGGGCTGCGCCGGCGTGGGAGTCATCCCTGTCATCAACTTGCAAATGGTTTCTCTAGCCTTCAGTGCTAAAGCTTTGCTTCGCTCTGAAGCAGAGGAGCACATCGGACCATCTCATCCGACCGGAACCCCAACTTCGTTTTGTTTCAGCGCGGTGTTTGTGAGGTGCAAGTCACTTGACACCAACCACGGCTCACCTTCGCGAGGTGCAGTTCCGACTCCTCTCTGGAATACTCGAGCTCATGGGTGACCTGTAGACACCAACGAATAAACCCAAGCAGGACCCGTGCCGGCTATAAACGAATCTTGGAGAGGGTTGCATTTTCGTGGTTTAATGCTTGGTATGTGCGCCACTATCGGTTCGAGTTGAGAGCGTTCATCGGTGGTGTCCGAGGGGTTGGTGACGGCGGCTGCGGCGAAGCAAATTTTCTGAGAAACACGAGTGCCTTTAAGAACGGCCCAAGAAACGTTTTTTCCGGCGATGTCGCGAAAAGTGTACAACGCCTCCTTGCGACTCGGTTCCGTTGCGTCCAACAGTATGTTGGGCGTCCGCAGGATTGGTGCGCAGAAGACGTACAAAGAGTGACCAACAAACGTAGCTCCACATGATGTGCAAGAAAGTTCTACACCATTGCTCCTGAAGTACTCGATTAAGTTTCCTAAACCGACAAGTGACAGCTGTCCACCCACCTCTTCGCAAAGTTCTTTCCCTTGCCGTTCCAACATTTCCTCGTACCCGGGATCGATGAGCATGTCCGCCTCCGAAAGTCGTTCTCCTGGAGGGGCGGCGGCGTTCTCTTCCACAAGTCGGGCAAACTCCGCCTTAATACACGGGTTCCCAACCGGGGGGGGGAAGCGTTCGCACGGGAGAGGTTTGCGCGTGCGGGAAGCCATACTTTGTTCTCTGTTCGCACTCACGTACTCCATCGTTTTAAGCACACTGGAAGCGCCGAAGAAACCCTCGCGGGAGACGATCGACTTGAAACGGGAGTTCACCCCGAATGGCCTTCAGCATTTGGTGTTATGACAAACAGGATCGTAGAAACTCATTTTGGACCCACGCGCTGTTCTATTCCCACTCTACTACATTCTACTGTAGGTGTTGCCACTCTGCCTCGATGTTGTCAAACCCTTTATCACCACGCCGATTCCCTCAAGCGCGAATCCGGATTACCCCTATACCGTTTTATCAAACGTCGAATCTAGAAAAGGCGAAACAGCCAACAAGCTGACACCTATAAAGAAAGACCTAACTTGTGCGTCGACCAGCTAGACGGCTGCTTTTCTGACAAAACAATACCTGTTTGAACAGTCAGAGCCCTTATTTATCAACGGTATCTACCTGCATCTGTCGAATGATCGCTCGAACTCCTTCTTTTTTCGCCTCGGCCGCCTTTCGCCTGGGTCGCAAGTTAACCAAGCGAGTGCATGGGTAGGTGGGAGCTCTCCCAACGAACGCAGTAAAGACATTCATGAGTTGTAGACTAACGGAAGTGTATGTAAACACAAGAACATCAGCACAGAATTTCCGGGTTCGACAGCGACAGACATTCCTCACCTGTAGTATCGAACGAAGAACACACACAGGTACTTCGTTCATGCAGAAAAGCGATGAACGAAGGCGGTGTTGTGCCTTTTTCTCAATAAGGGTCCAGATACAGGAACGCAGATATAAAAAAAAAAGTAGCAGTACTGCGAGGACCAGCCCTTGTTGTGTACCGTTACTGGCGTGTAGGAGCATAGATCTGTCAAGGCCAGGTGTTGCCGATCATGTTTAAAAAAAAATGTTTTTGCACATGAGTACCGTGAGCTAGCTCACGACCACCTCTTTCGCCTTGACAACATACCCCGCGCACATCAAGGAGCTAGCTTTCAGTTACTGTACCTGTTATCGTCTTCAGTCTTGAGTTTGTCCTCCTGGATAGAGTACGCCGCTTCGTCCGTGATGTCCGCAGCCTCCTCCTCAATCAGGGGAGCCTCACTGCCGAACCCTTGAGGGACCGGCCGCACCTGTGTAGGTGGGTAGCCATATGCATTGTGAACCTCCGGTCAAAGCGTACAAGTCCAACGCTTTGCACACGTTTCTTGGTTTCTTCTGTGAAGACAATGGTTCTTTCGCGGGGTTCAGCGGCGAACCCACTGCTCAGGCACGTCTATCCCTCTCCAGCAGATGAGGCACAAAAGACGCGGTCATACAAACGAGTTTGAGCCGTACACGGTTGGCGTTGCGAAGCAGATGCTGCTCTCCCGATCAAGGTGAACGTTTAACGTTCATCTGTCATTGTCACCAAGGTCTTCGGATTTCAATGCTGACGGCGGTATGGGTGAGACAACGAGCACCAGAGCATTGGGCTTTTTCTGATGCCGGGGTGCTGCGGTCGACGGTACTGCGTGATATTTTGATCGAGCAGTGTGCCGTGCGGTGAGTAAGTTAAGTTTGCCGTCAAGTGAGATCCGGGGTTAGAACACATGTCCTGGCGAAGGTCGCCTAGTTGGGTTGCCTGCATCGACGTGCATGGAGCAAGAATCGTACATGTTCTGTGTAGGAATCTAGGAATGCAGGGAATATCGAGAGCGATGACCAGGGCATCATCACGTACGTGACGCTTGTTCCATTTATATCAGGTTACACGTGCGTGCATGACACCTTGCGCGAAGATGCAATCCGGTGTTCGATACCGTGCAACATGCAAGCGTTTAATTGGTGTGGCTTCTCACATGGTGTGTTCGTATGGTGTGTGGTGCGGGCACGGTGTTGCGTTTCCTCTTACATAGACCAACCAACGCCTCATGGGGCTTTGATTAGCTACGAAGACCGCGACGAACTCCGTTGGTAACTCTTGGCGTGTGAGGCACTATCTCCTCAAGAAGGTCTCATCTCATCAGGGGCAAGACGCCATTTATTGACAACAACTGTGCCGTACCAGTTCGAAACCGTCAAGCTCCGTCACGACCCCCTGGCCGTCGTCCATGTACTCGCTCAGAAAGGTTGGCGGCTCTGGGGGTTCCGTGGCGCGAGGGGCCGGCGGTGGTTCCCGGACGGGTGATTTTCCGCGCTTCTTGCTCCTGTTCATCGATTCCATCCATCGTTTTCGTTTTGTTTGTTCACCCCATTTTCACCATGTATGCATGCACGGCGTGCTTTATTTTCTTCGGTAGAGGGTACAGCGTGAGAGCTAAGGTTGGTCAAATATTGGCTAGGCGTCTGATAGCAGTCTTGGAGAGCGAGGGGTGGTTTTGTGTAGTCGGCGGGAAGGTTCATTTTAGGTGTTATACGATTGCGACTCCCGTTGTACCCGCAGAAAGAGACGTAGCGCGCCCGTCATATTTTTGTTTGCTCCGAGAAGAGGCTGAGAGAAGACGCGGTACAAGGGTCGCCATGTCGCTGGATACACACATCCAGTGCCAGGTGGCACTACCTTAAAAATAAAACTGGGTTCACAGATGTCTTGTCAGCCGCTACAGATATTAGATTTGTACATCCAATCAATGTTATACAAATTGTTGTGGTCGGAAATATGGATTTTACCCACAACTTTCGTGCAACAAGCGAGCCGTCCTTGAACGTTGGTTTTCTTGAAGTACCTGGAACCCATTGGTGAAGATGCAGGACTGAGCGCCGGTGGAATAGTCACGTGTCGCATTCGCTCCGACAACTCCAACGCCGAAGCCTGCAAGACGATTCAATTCAGCGTGCGTACAAGGGCGGGCGGAGACGTGATCAGAAAGCTCGCAAGTTTCCGTTGACAAGTAGAAGCATACACGTATGATGGAACTTGCTTGGTGTGGTGAGATACGGTTAGATGAGGGTGACACGGGAGAGGGAGTTAGGCCAAGTGGGTTTTCGAGAGATATGGTACCGTTACGGAGTGTGCGTATGTTGCACGTAATGGCGTCGTATTTTTCGAGAGGACAAGGTAGCTGAGTACGCCAGCTGGCTGTGTGGTTTTAGCGCGGTTAACTCAACATACAGGAGACAAATGGATGGACGATCAGGTTGCCGTCCTTGTGATAGGCTGTCAGGCAATCACGAGATGGTGCAGTGCTCCAGGATGAAGTGCGCGGATGCGTCACCATGACACCAGAAAGCTACCCCCAGCGAAGCCCAACAACGCTCACTCTCGAAAGTGCCCAAACCAGCTGCTGTGCGCACTGCTATCGGAGGACACAACGCGAGGGCAACATCTTCGACACAACGGTGCGAGAACCCCCGCCATCCGCACCTGGAACGGTTCTCTCCTCAACCGGTGCACCGCCAACAGCCCGTCGCTGTCGCCGCTGACGATCCACTCGCCGTCGCACGAGCACGCCGCCGCCGCCACCGTCGCGTTCCCGTCGTGTGCCTGAACCCGAGCGTACACCCCCGCCGCGAGGGCCGGTCTCACCGTCACCGCCCCGTCGTCGCACCCGCAGAGAAGAAGGTCAGCGTCGCTCTCGCTGGTCTCGCGGCTCGAACCACCGCAGGAGGCGTCTTTGGCGGCGGGGCCAGTGTAGCGTATGGTCGTAATGGTCGGGGGTTTCGCGCCGATGGCTGCCGTTGATGAGGGCCCGTACCCCGCAGGGAAGTCGCGCACAGGAAACTCTTCCTAATAAGTGCGTCCGGACGTATGTAGCATCACGAGAGCGAGGGAGGTGCTGACGGTAAGTGTGTGACAGGCCTATAGCGTTGGCAAAGGTACGGGGGGGGGGGTTCATCGACCCTTCTTATTGGTTTGAAATAGTCTTTATGGCATGACCGCCGCGTTTTCTCTCTTTGGGAAAAGGGAGCGGATCTCCAAATGCAAGTTAACTTCGCACTCTGGAAAACTATTTCCAGGACGGCGATCATCTGTAAAGTAGTTTCTAAACGCGTGCGCGGTGCAGCCTTTGCAAGCACCGACCGTGCCACAAGCAGTCTTATCCCAGTACCTTGGAGCAGAGCAAACGCATGGAACCAGCAGTAAAGGAGGGATACGGATCACCACAGGTCTCACTCTCACCTCCCAGGAACACTCAAAGATTGCCCCTCGAGCCCAGCCCCCCATCGCGAGCAAAAATTTTTCTCCCCCTCCCCTGGCATAGACCGCCTTCAAGGCGGGGGGTGTCGGCAGAGTCTGGTTCGATGCGTCCTCGTCGCCCTCTTCATCTCCGTCTTCGTTCTCGACGCTCCCCTCCAACGCGTCCGCCGCCGTCTCCCCGCCCGCTTCTTCCGGCAATTCGAGCTCGAGTGCACTCGGTGATTGCACGGAGCGCCTCTTGAACGTGTACCACCGGACGGGGATATCGTGTATCTCGAACGACTGCAGCAAACAGAAAAGATGCAGCGAAAGCAACACGCCCAGTTTTGCCAGACGTGTGGTTCCGTCGATAGACTAAGCATTTTGACTCAAGAGATTGGAAGAATTTCGGTTTCATCTCAAGCACCGAGCCGCTGACGGGTGATGCCGGCACATTGTACTCGAATTTACGACGTGTCCGATAATGCGTCCCCAAAACCAAAAACATGAAATACCCACAGAACAAAAACAAAACACACCCAACTATTACGTATGGCAAGTGCAGACACGAGCTAGCAGGCGTCAATACGAAATGATCCACGACAAGGCAACGGCAGTAACACCCACGCACCTGACTCGAATCAACTCCATCGAGGTGGCCGCCGGAAAGGTCGACTTGCGCCACTTCCCCCCCAAGGCAGGTTACGATCACGCTCGACGAATCCTTCCGCCAACACACGCTCGTCGGCGTCGATGGCAGCGTGTAAAACCCAACCGGCAGGTAGTCTTGCATCTGGAAAAGCAAGGTTCGATCGCGAACAAGGGGTCGTGATATGCAGTCAGGGAAGCAGCGCGACACGCATCAACAGTTCACTGTACCACGAAGCAGAAACGAGTAGCAGTTGAGTGGGGAAACCGAGCTTGTGCGCGAAACGAAAGGGGTCTTGCTGCCCGACCACCTATCGTTTGCTTGACGAATTTCCCGGTGAAGCATTGGAAGGGACCCGGCCAATGTTCCGAACTAGGAGGCACACAAGAGCGAACTTCGGTAGCAGTTATAGTCTACGTCTTGCGCTTCGTCATCAAGCAACATCAACACCGACTCTCTTTGCAATTTACCTCTGCGGTCAAGCAAGACTTGATGAAGAAAAGCTTGCAATCCTTCCCAACGGTGGCCAGCAACTTTCCGTTCGGACTGTACGCAAGACCGGCCACGCCGCTGTCATGCGGCTTCAGCGTCTGCGCCCGTCGCAGCGAGCCGTTTCCGCCATCAGAGCTGCCCCCCAACCCCCCCGCCGCGTCGCCCCTGGCTCCTTCACCTCGGGGATCTCGAACCAGTACCCTCACCACGCCGTCCGCAAATCCCACCGCCACGGTATGACCGGCGGGGTCAACGTGGTCGTTGGCCCACACGAGGCACTGCGCTGCCCGCGGGAACCGTGCCATCTCCAGAGGCTTCTTAGTGAGGAAGTCCCAGATGCGCACCGTTCCATCAACTCCGCAGGTTGCCGCGAGCTGCTCCAGGAAACTTGTGTCCAAGCCCGTGATCGCACCGGCGTGGAAAGTGGCCAGCTGTCTCGTGCCCGGGGCGGGAGAGTCAGCCGTCGCTGGTTGCGAGATGGGAACCTGCCACAGCGCCCCCGCTCCATCTGTCACCAGGAAGTGGTCTGAATTGGGGTCATCTCGAACGCCGCCGCGCTCGACGCAACGCGCGTTGACGCCCTCGCCGATGAAAAGCTCCCGCACCGGGGAAACCTCGCAGCACATAGAGTCATCGTCCGCATCCGCCCTGTCGATATCGGCGAACGGCCACCAGCGCACGTACCCGTCGGCACCGGCCGTGACGACGAGCATGTCGGTTCGGTCAAGGGACACGTGCAAGACTGGACCGTCGTGGCAGCCCGTCTTCCCAGGCCGCACGACCTGGCACTTGATGAACTGCCCTTCCCATATCAGCAGACAGCCGGACTCCGCCCCGGAGACCACTTTCCCGTCCGGCATGTGGCAAAAGCAGTCGATGTCCGTCATTTCGACCTTACCGAACTTGCCGATCTCCCCCTGCAGCTTGAGGCCTGTAAACGTGTTTGCTACTCTCCAGAAGCGGATGTGTCCCGTGCCTGACGTGGTCAAACGGCCCTCATCGTCCGGGGAAAACGAAACCTGCAGAAACAGGGGCAGCGTTCTTTTCCGCCCGATCAGTGTTTCGATGCGATGGGTTTCGAACTACCATTTCCCGTGTTAGGTTTATGGAGCCATTCTATTATAGCATGGAACTCAGCGCTGATTGACTCTAGATGAACCTAATGGATCAGCCCCACAAACCCAACATGCTCTTCGCGCAGTTGTCACATAGAGCGGCCAGCCGCGGCAAATGGTCAACTATTCATATTTCGAGCACGTTGTCGATTTCAAATTATCGAATATGCTAAGCGCCCTACTGCTGTAGACCTGACCCCCTTTAACCACCAACACTAGATAATCCATTCACCTTGGCAACATCTTGTCCAAAGGCCTTGCAATGAAGGATGACCTTCTCGTTGATCCAGTCCCAAACTGTGAGCATGAAGTCAGGGGCCTGCCCCACGCTAGCCAGCTTCTCTCCGGTGGTGGTAAAGTCCATAGCGCAGTACCCTCGCTCGGTTCCCTTCCGCAGCACCTGAAGATTGCAGACCACGAGTTCCCCAAAGAAGCCACTGGTTGTAGAAGGTATTTGGAGCACATTTAAGTCAGCACTGTACCAAGGAATATATGCATGTGTAGATGTATTCAAGCATCCGTCTCGCACTCCCTCTTCAGAGCATCCGTCATGAGAACTATCTATTGAGCAATAGTTGGTTTGTTCGCGCAGCTCCAACTTGAAGTTGCTGTGTTGCTGGAAGATCTCATACCTTGGCTATTTTGAAGCTGGGGTACTCGTACACGTAGATGTTAGGCATCGACCCCTTGTCTCCGACCGCAACCAGCGTACCAGTCGGGTGCACAGCGAAACAACCCACCCCGCCACCGTCCAGCCCGAAGATGACTCGCCGCTTCATGGTGGACACCTCAAGGATCACCAGGGTATTACCAGCGGCGTACATCACCTTGCCCGGCTCGATGTACCTGAGGTTATCTGGTCTTGCTGCGTCCAACCCGAAGGAGTGGTGAGGAGCGATGTTGTTCCGTGCCAGCTCTCCGTGCTATCAGAATTGAAATTGGGTGGTGGTTCGAAATCCTTGAAGGATGAGGTTTGTTTGTGACATCTACATGTACACTCACCATTTTTCTGGTCGTGGAGGGAGCTTTTCGTGGATATCCGGCTCATTTAATGCAAGGTGCTGTACCTTGAGAAACGTGGTACGTGCAATGTCAGGCATCCTTACTTGTGTTTAAACTACTGGTAGGTCTATCAGTCTATCATGTGTATGTTGCTGTTGTTGTTGTTGTCTTCACATTAAAAACCGTTCCGATCTCTCTCTACCCAGTACCTTCGTATGTCCGTAATGTATGCATGTAGATATGCCGTCTCACCTGCAGCTCTCGTTTGAAGGAAGCCCTATCGTAGAAGGAGTTCACCTTGACCTTGACCACCTCCAAGGACTGTCGATGGGATTTTCGCTTAGGAAGGGGAATCACGTCAGCGGCGACATTATCCTCTGTGCCATCGACTTCTCCCGCGGATGGATCCACCACTACCCTGCTGTCCATGCGGCCCTTGTCCTCGGTTGATTTTCCTTCGGGAGGATCCGCATCCTTTCGATCTTCAACGTTGGCCATCGGTTGTTCTTCACCCTCTTCAGCAGCGGCTTCGCTAGAGGCAAGCGCAGGCTCACTCTGATCAGCCATGCCGCGTCGTGGTAGCATGTAGTGCTTGAGCACGCTGGATGGTTCGGTGTCGAAGCCTCGAAGCCTCGAAGGAAAATGGTCCGCACAAGCGTTTCATGTGTTGGGAGTTGGTAGGGAGAAATCCATGGGGGTTCCGTGAATGCATAATTTTGAATCTGCATAATCGGAGACTGCAGAGAGCAGAACGCAGAGAGCAAGCGAAGCTGAGCTGCACACGACACGTTGCGGACCTTGGGGGCGTCACTCACGTGCTGCGACTCGCTGCCTTGTGCACGTTCGCACACGCCATCGCGTAAATGTCTGGAGGTTTGGCGTCGTGGTTAGATGATACAACTGGTCAACCGCATGTTCGGCGACGCAATGATGCCTGCTCGGCAGACCGCATGGCTTCCGTCTCGGTCGTTGACGAAGCAGCACCAAGTAGTACTTGTGTTACCCGCGGCCAAGGTCCAGCACCAGGCTCTGCTGAAAAGGAAGCGTGGGACCCGTTCGGCAGCGATTGTCGCGAGGACGCCTTCGCTCGGCTCTTGTCGGCTGCAAACCGGCCGGCCGGATCATCAACGACTACTGCTTCCACATCCCAACCAGCAGCAGGACCAGCGTCCTCGTCCTGGGATCCGTTTGCAAGCACTGGCGACGGAAAGGAGAACCGTGGAAATGCCTTGTCGAAGCTCCTCGCATCTCCCAGCCAGCCCAACGGCAGTAGCAAGGGCAGGAGTGGTCCGTCGAGTGCGAAGAGAAAGCGTCCGGCCGTGGGCTCTACCTTGCTGAGTGCTGCCGCGGCGGGGGGAGCGCGAGCTGGGGGGGCGGGGAATGCGGAGGCTTTGACCCGGTTTTGCGAGTGCCCCGTGTGCGGGAAGAGGGTGAGAGTAGTGGGAGTTGTTGGGGTGCGCCCTCTGATGTTGGTCAATATGCGCCTGAACCAAACAGGCTAGTCAGCTCCTCGCACGCACAATGTTTTTGATACCTGTATGCGATAAGTGTGCACACTGCTGTACCTGTTGCATGTACACTTCAAGAGTGTTATGTTCCTTGCGGTGAACCTTGCACGCATGCCACAAATCAGAGCCATGATCCCTACAGTTCGAGCTGTTCTACACGTAGCTCTGTTGAAGGGTATTCTATGTCCCTTATGATCGGTAGGACGCCAGCGATATGTACATGTTTGCTCCATGGTGATCGGTAAGTCATAAGTACCATGGGTGAGCTTTGCGTGTAGTCTTTTGATATGTACATTTACATCGCTCATGATTTGTGATGCGTGTGGACGTGCAGACTCTTTGTTCCCTTCGGCCTTCGGCATATCAGTCTTACTCTGCTATCCAGTGGTTACCCCTCCTTCATGCTCAAGCCGGCCGTCCAGTGCAACGTACGAAAATGGACGCTGCAGTAGCTCAGTCACGCAAGCGCAGACCTAGGGTGCCTTCGAAGTACACATCTGTAGGCAACCCGAGGTAGCCTTGTTAGTCGCCGTGTTCGTTCTACACGCAGGTCCGCTGGTTTGGGTTTGGAAACCCATCGGATGATGAGTTACAGCAATGGCTTCCTTTACTATAGGCGTCCATATTGAAGACATTTTGCTACACTGGGGTTGCTGTTTCATCACCCTGTAATGATATAATCCCCGGCGGTTGGTAGGATGCATCGTGTGTGGACTACCCTGGCTTGTACTCTTTATGTACAGCACGGGCCTGCCTGCTGATAAATATTTCCCTGAGAAACAGAGTCTCCAATAGTTTGGCGAAAACTCAGAAACAGGGTAAAAGAGAAAGAAACACAGCTACTGTACCTCAGCGGTGAATCATAGGTTTAGCTCCATTGAACAACCTATGCTCGACATGTAGTGGGGATGAAATACTTCGAAGCTAAGCCTCGACCCGGTATTCGCGTTTCTTTTCTCCGGGCCCGTTCTGTATGCGCGCGGCTGGCTGCCCCCGCCGCAGGTCCTTATCGAGATGTGCAGCAAGCATCTCGACACGGAGTGTAACGGGCTGGACGCGACACCCCCCGCCGCCACCGAGACAGCAAAATCACCGCTTTCTGCTGCGACCGAGAGCCGGGGAGCCTCGGAACCCATTCCCCCGGCAACACCACCGCCATCAGCGCTTGCAGCAGGTTCTTGTCGGTCCGTGCTTGCGTCCCCGCCGCTTGAGGAAGGAAAGGGCGATGATAGCCGCGCAAGGACAGCGGCTCGAGTAGCGGAAGATGCCCCGCGTGGACAAGGGCAGCAACCCTCGGGCGATGCAGCAAGCTCAAGCGCGCGAGCAGCAGCCTCGACGTTTCCCGCTCCTGCCGCATCCCCTGCCTTCGAAACCGCTGCTGCTGCTGCTGCTGCTGCTACTGCTGCAGCCAAGCCGGCGGCGTCTTCTCGGGCAAGGAAGCTAGGTCGAAAACGAGTAGCGGCAGCAGAGGCGATGACAGCTTGTCCCGTCTGCGGGAAGCAGATTCAGGCGGACCTGTGCAGCTTGCACTTGGACACGGACTGCTCCGGCGTTACGCCTTCGGGCGGCGGGCTGAAGGAGGAGGTCCGCGACGAGGTGGGCTCGGGAAACGGCGGAGAGGCGGACAGCGGCAAAGCCGTGCCCAAGAAGGACGTTGGGAGCGAGGCGGCGGGGGGACTGAACGCCCTTGCGGCGGAGCTGACTTGTCCAATTTGGTGAGACAGTTGTGGAAGTAAACAGTGCAGTACCGTGGTTTAGACGGGTAGCTTCCGCCTGCAGGGCGAGCTACGCTTTGCCAGTTTACTGGTTTGTGATGTTGGCCTGTACTGCTCCTGTGCTTTGGTCTAACAGCTTTCACATGGCGTTCCCCATGCAAGAGAAATTTTGAAATGGCCAACGCTGCTGCCGACATATATCCAGGCATAGAACGCTCAGATTTTGTGTTGTTTTGTGTCCCTCGTTCCCTCGTTTTCTTCCGCATAGTCGTCGTTCCGCATCGCCAAATAGATTTGTGTTTTGCACGAAGTAGTAGTTTTTACAATACTCTGGCCGTCTGTCCCGCGATTGCGCCGCCTGCATTGCCCCTTGCGCCTTCTCCCGCCTTTGTTTACTCGTGCACAACAAGTCTTTGTGTGTTCGAGGATGCGCATTCCTTGCCGTGCAGCCACCGGTTTTGCCTGGAGTGCATCCTGGGATGCTTCAAGTCGAGCAAACGGCAGGAATGCCCGCTGTGCAAGGTAGGTACTTGCCCGTCGGATTGACCGTTATTATTGTGTGATTGTGCTGTTTTTGCACGAGAAGCACTCATGTTAGCTGCGGACAGTAGCCTCGGAGAGTACATTACTATTGATCTTGGTTATTGTAAGGGGTTAGGGATAGGGAAACGAACCCCCTTCTTTATTTCATATATTAATATTTGAATCCTCGCCAGGGCGGTCCTGTGCGGAGCACGTTTTTGGGGGGTATCAGTTGCTGGCGTATGCGCTGTTGCCGTGTTTGGTTGGTGCAACGTCGGGCCCGTCGACGGTGTGTTTCGTCTGTATGCCCGCCCCACCCCCGCCGCTCTCAGCATACAGGGCGGCTGTAATCGTGTCAACAGTTTTTAGAAAATTGCACACAAAGAAATACTGTTGCCCGTTCGAGATAGTACTAAGTCGAGGGAATGTGTAATGTTTTCCCAACGTTGGCAGATCTACACCTTACTTTGTTCTTGCCCTTGCACTCAGGGAGAACGGCTTGAAATGAAGGTCAACCAATGCTTGCTCTGGTGTTGCCTTGGGTTGATTTTTCGATAACGAGCGGCCTTTGCTACCCTCTGGTTCAAATTTGCAAGTCAAAGATTTTTAAATTGGTGAGAGTTACTGCAGGCAATTTCTCCTCATCGTTTATCTTCTCACGACCCGCTTCACTCGCCTCATCTGTGATACTCGCCCACAACGACTACGTGTAATCTGAAAGAACGCGAGCTCCCCTGTGCTGCTCATGACTTTCAACGTTACCGGACATCTCACCCTTCAGCACACACACCGTTGCTTCCTTGCGTGCCACGTGCTGCTGCGCCGCTCCCAGATCCCTGCATGGAAGAGAGACTTGACAAGGGACGTTTCTATCCAGAACATAATTGCCGCTTACCGAAGGATGGCAGCGTAGCAAGCAGTATCTGCCACGCTGTAGGAACTAATTATATATCCTCTCTCGAGGCAAAGTTGATTTGAGCTGAGGGTTAAGTGGCTCGGTTTCATTGGTCACTGCTCAGAACGTGCTCTACGACGTGGGCACAGCAGGTGTGGGTATGAGATTGAAATGACCGTGCATGGAAGACTCTTATTTTTTGGTATTGTGACGTGCCGGCAAGCGATTGTTGGTGTGGTGCTTGGACCATGATCACGTTCCCATTATTACGTATCGCGGCTGATGTTGTTCCTCTTTTTCTACCAAGATAGAGCTCAGCGATGTAGGTAGGCAGAGAGAGAGCGAGAGAAGAAAGAGAGAGATACACACACATAGACAACAGAGAGGGAGAGCAGAGGTACTCGACGGCTGAGACCAGTTTATGAACGATCACATGTTCACGTTATGCGCTGTCGTAAGATGATCGACAGAGGTCTGAGGCCGTATCAAGTATTCGATTTTTTCCCCCGTAGCCAACGCATTTGTTCGGTGCGGACCTACTTGGAAGGGTTCCGTTCGGGATCTGAAATTGTTTTGGGTGCCTTACACGTTTGGGTGGGCAACAGCCATCATCGTCGGTGTGGTGTTTTTTGTGCTGTTTTGTTTTGGTGTGTAAATAATTTTTCCTGTTTTTCGTCACAGCACCCGGCGACATGTTGCCATAGTTTTCAGTTGAAGTATGCAGAGTTTCTCTTGCAGTCTGGATTGGATTTTTGTTAGTGTTTTGTGTCGTGGAGTTAGTCGGCACGTGAAATGGCTTGCCCTGTCCAGAAGGTACAGGCCGGTTTTAGATCCGTTGGACGAACGACACGCCGATTGTTTGACGTTAGGATGAAATGATGAGGTGATCGTTACGAAGTGAAGTGCCGCGTGTCATTCCCACGGTTCAGAATTGCCCAGGCTCAACCCAAGGTGGTGAAACACCTCGCACACAAAACCACGAACGTGTCTTTAGAATCATCGACCAAAAACAACACGGAGCACACTATCCGTTCCCGTTAAAATCTCTGGAAAGAAGACGAAAAGGGGAATGAATCACTTAATTGAAGGGACATCCCTTGGTTACATTCATTCGTCACATATCTCACGAACACGGTTCGCTTCAGGCTGGTTTTGTTCCTGCCGCCCTTGGTGATTGTTGACGTACTTGTTTTAACTGATTCGTTCACGGTCTCGGGGCGTCTTTGATGCCTCCATGAACGCCTCGTGTACGGGCCAACATCGAACCCATCGTTGCTAGGCAGACCGTGATGGGAGAGGGAAAGGTCCATGTGGACAAGTTCATTTCTGGATGGTAGCCGTGCGTACGGACGTAGTTGAACCCTTCGTTGCCGACCTCACTGACGGGACAAGTGAAGGTTCAAAGACTTTTGACCGCACAAGCTATTACCCCGACCAACCCCGCACGGGGTTGTAGAGGGCAGTGATGCCGTCACGGAAGTGATTCGGTGGCATATGAGGCCGAGTGTGTTCCATCAGAAAAATGCACCTCTTCCGACAAGCGAAAGGTGTTGCACACGAGGCAGCAGCAGGTGCACGCACGCACACAAGCTGAGCAAACCACCGGTGCGATTTCGCCAGAAAGAGCGGTTGCTCGAACAACTTCGTGCCACCTTTTCGGCAGAGCCGTTGGTCAAGACCATGTGACAGCAAACCGTAGATGTCAAGTCACAGAGCTACCATTTGTAACGTATTACAAAACATGTAATACTCTCGTCCCAGCATTGTTGCCAACAGTTCCACGACTTCCATCCGGAAGAAGACTACCCGAAGAATCGCAAGCTCCGCTTCGTCTTCATTTCTCACGCATCCGACGAACCTCGGTTACAATGTGACAAGCTAACAGCCGATCATCCTCGATTCCGCTCAGACTCTTGTACAGACTTCATCCGCTACCAAATTGCAACAGACTGTCCGCCACGGAGACGAAGCACAAGGTGAAGGGTAGACTCCTTCTGGATGTTGTAGTCCGACAAGGTCCGCCCGTCCTCCAGCTGCTTGCCGGCGAAGATCAGGCGCTGCTGGTCCGGGGGGATGCCCTCCTTGTCCTGGATCTTCTGCTTCACGCCATCGATCGTGTCGGAAGGCTCCACGTCAAGAGTGATGGTCTTGCCCGTGAGGGTCTTGACGAAGATCTGCATGCCGCCGCGGAGGCGGAGCACCAGGTGAAGGGTAGACTCCTGCAGACAATAATAGAATATAAGCAAAAGGGCAGGTTGAGGGTTCGTGAGTACCAGTTGATAAGGATGCGACGACGAATACAAGCCTCCGCGTCAAGCACATATATCAAGAGCGACGAATCGAGGGTGTACTTTTTATCAACAACCAGTATTGTTTCAAGACCAACATGCATTGCGAATCCTCAAAAATAAGACTGCTTCGTGAAGGTTTCTGCCTAAGTTTTTTTCGTCGTTCACCCAAAGTGGAAAGCGCAAAAAAACGTATATGAGGCGAGATTCGAGGTAAGCACCGGAACAAGAATGTCACCCAAAGGGATTCTTGGAAGATTAATGCAGTGCGCCCTTGGCCGTTTCCGTCTCTCACCCTACACTGTAGAAGGAAACATTTTGTTCGTGGACAGGATTTGATGCCCATTCAGAAAATACTTCGAAAGGGTAGGGGGAGATAAGAACAATATTCTATACTTTGAAGTACATGAAAGCATCAACGAAAAACATGTGACCCGCCTACATGAAATTTACTGGTATACTTCTACAAGGGATGGGCGTGATTGCGGCGCAAGAAACCAAAGTCACCACGACTGCGTTCGTGCGGGAGCCTTCGCACCTTCTGGATGTTGTAGTCCGACAAGGTCCGCCCGTCCTCCAGCTGCTTGCCGGCGAAGATCAGGCGCTGCTGGTCCGGGGGGATGCCCTCCTTGTCCTGGATCTTCTGCTTCACGCCATCGATCGTGTCGGAAGGCTCCACGTCAAGAGTGATGGTCTTGCCCGTGAGGGTCTTGACGAAGATCTGCATGCCGCCGCGGAGGCGGAGCACCAGGTGCAGGGTAGACTCCTGCAAATGAAAGAAAATGAGGTTGACCAACACGAGGGAAGGGTGCAGTTGTCGGGGTGTGACAAATAGTAAACACACCCTCCCAAGCGCGACGAATGAAGGGGTGTCGACACCTCACGCTTAACATATGCCAAACAATGTATCCGCAACAGGACTAAACTTATGAAATGAATGAAAATTGTGTACAACATCTCAACTATCTCTCGCAAGTGGGCGCACACAAACGCGGCTGAGGGTCGAGGAATCACCAAGAGTCGATCAACACTAGACTGCCGCTAACCGTAACGTACCTGCCACCCATGGCCGCGAATACCAAGCGCTGACATTACCACGACCTTCTGCTTCGGCCTGAGCAACACACCTTTTGAATGTTGTAGTCCGACAAGGTTCGCCCGTCCTCAAGCTGCTTGCCGGCGAAGATCAGGCGCTGCTGGTCCGGCGGGATGCCCTCCTTGTCCTGGATCTTCTGCTTCACGCCGTCGATCGTGTCGGAAGGCTCCACGTCAAGAGTGATGGTTTTGCCCGTGAGGGTCTTGACGAAGATCTGCATGCCGCCGCGGAGGCGGAGCACCAGGTGCAGCGTCGACTCCTGCAATAAAACGACACGAGTTTGACCAAAGGGCGGACGGAAGGTGAGGCTTCAGTGAGTCATTACGGTGCGACGAGAATATTGCGACAAATGTAGATCTCCCTCGTCCACATGTCCATTTGACACGAAAGGCTGTGGCACGCGCTGGGCTGTGAATCGGTCTGGCGCCGCTTACGTTCATGGACGGCTTCAAACAATTCCCTTTTTTGGGCTTGGAAAGATCATGTATCGTCCAAACTCAGGCCCATACTTGTTTGAAGGCTCTGAATTCAAACGTCCACGGTTGACCTCAACGAACGCACGCCAAGTGACATCACAACCGTTCAGAATCAGCGGTACATTAAGAAAATCCAGTGACGGGTCACTCGGTTCACGTTCGATCAAGTCGCTTTGTTCCCCTTTTTGACTAAAAATAATTTTACCGAGGACGCATCGAATTCGTGTTCGGCACTGACTCAAAAAACCGCACAAATACAGACATCGAAGGGTGGACATTGGGTTCACCGGCAAAACAACAAGTCATCCGACTCCGAGACAACAGGTGTCGCAAAACTACTTTCAAGAGACGTGAGCTGAAATACACCTTCTGGATGTTGTAGTCCGACAGGGTCCGCCCGTCCTCCAGCTGCTTGCCGGCGAAGATCAGGCGCTGCTGGTCCGGCGGGATGCCCTCCTTGTCCTGGATCTTCTGCTTCACGCCATCAATCGTGTCGGAAGGCTCCACGTCAAGAGTGATGGTCTTGCCCGTGAGGGTCTTGACGAAGATCTGCATGCCGCCGCGGAGGCGGAGCACCAGGTGAAGGGTAGACTCCTTCTGGATGTTGTAGTCCGACAGGGTGCGCCCGTCCTCCAGCTGCTTGCCGGCGAAGATCAGGCGCTGCTGGTCCGGCGGGATGCCCTCCTTGTCCTGGATCTTCTGCTTCACGCCATCAATCGTGTCGGAAGGCTCCACGTCAAGAGTGATGGTCTTGCCCGTGAGGGTCTTGACGAAGATCTGCATGCCGCCGCGGAGGCGGAGCACCAGGTGAAGGGTAGACTCCTTCTGGATGTTGTAGTCCGACAGGGTGCGCCCGTCCTCCAGCTGCTTGCCGGCGAAGATCAGGCGCTGCTGGTCCGGGGGGATGCCCTCCTTGTCCTGGATCTTCTGCTTCACGCCATCGATCGTGTCGGAAGGCTCCACGTCAAGAGTGATGGTCTTGCCCGTGAGGGTCTTGACGAAGATCTGCATGCCGCCGCGGAGGCGGAGCACCAGGTGAAGGGTAGACTCCTTCTGGATGTTGTAGTCCGACAGGGTGCGCCCGTCCTCCAGCTGCTTGCCGGCGAAGATCAGGCGCTGCTGGTCCGGGGGGATGCCCTCCTTGTCCTGGATCTTCTGCTTCACGCCATCGATCGTGTCGGAAGGCTCCACGTCAAGAGTGATGGTCTTGCCCGTGAGGGTCTTGACGAAGATCTGCATGCCGCCGCGGAGGCGGAGCACCAGGTGAAGGGTAGACTCCTTCTGGATGTTGTAGTCCGACAGGGTCCGCCCGTCCTCCAGCTGCTTGCCGGCGAAGATCAGGCGCTGCTGGTCCGGCGGGATGCCCTCCTTGTCCTGGATCTTCTGCTTCACGCCATCGATCGTGTCGGAAGGCTCCACGTCAAGAGTGATGGTCTTGCCCGTGAGGGTCTTGACGAAGATCTGCATGCCGCCGCGGAGGCGGAGCACCAGGTGAAGGGTAGACTCCTGCAAGAAATAAAAGAAAATAAAAGGGTCGGGTGAGAGTGCGTGAGTGGTTGGTCGGGGTGCGACGAAGAATACAAAGCTTTCCCGTCAAGCACATATATCAAGAGCGAACAGGGTGAACTTCATAACAACCAGTACTGTTTCAAGTCCAAGATTCAAAGCAGAACCTGAAACATAAGACTGCTTCGTGAAGGTTCCTGCCTAAGCTGTTTTCGTCGCTCACCCAAAGTCGAAACGGCAAATTCGTTCATGGGGCAAGATTGGAGGTAAGCTCCGGAAGAAGATTGTCACCCAGGGGATTCTTGGAGATTTATATAGTGTGCCATTCGCCTTGATCGTTTCTTACTTGGTGTAAGAGAAAACATTTCGATCGCGGAAAGGATTTGATGTCAACACAGAAATTACTTCCGAGTGGGTAAAAGGGTCGAGAAACAACAATATTATATACTTGCCGACGTACACGAAAGCATCAACCAAAGAAAAAACACGTGACCCACCTACATATACTTCTACAAGGGATGGGCGTGGCTGCGGCGCAAGAAATCAAAGTCATGACGACTGCAGTCTTGCGGGAGCCCAATTCACACCTTCTGGATATTGTAGTCCGACAGGGTCCGCCCGTCCTCCAGCTGCTTGCCGGCGAAGATCAGGCGCTGCTGGTCCGGCGGGATGCCCTCCTTGTCCTGGATCTTCTGCTTCACGCCATCGATCGTGTCGGAAGGCTCCACGTCAAGAGTGATGGTCTTGCCCGTGAGGGTCTTGACGAAGATCTGCATGCCGCCGCGGAGGCGGAGCACCAGGTGAAGGGTAGACTCCTGCAAGAAATAAAAGAAAATAAAAGGGTCGGGTGAGAGTGCGTGAGTGGTTGGTCGGGGTGCGACGAAGAATACAAAGCTTTCCCGTCAAGCACATATATCAAGAGCGAACAGGGTGAACTTCATAACAACCAGTACTGTTTCAAGTCCAAGATTCAAAGCAGAACCTGAAACATAAGACTGCTTCGTGAAGGTTCCTGCCTAAGCTGTTTTCGTCGCTCACCCAAAGTCGAAACGGCAAATTCGTTCATGGGGCAAGATTGGAGGTAAGCTCCGGAAGAAGATTGTCACCCAGGGGATTCTTGGAGATTTATATAGTGTGCCATTCGCCTTGATCGTTTCTTACTTGGTGTAAGAGAAAACATTTCGATCGCGGAAAGGATTTGATGTCAACACAGAAATTACTTCCGAGTGGGTAAAAGGGTCGAGAAACAACAATATTATATACTTGCCGACGTACACGAAAGCATCAACCAAAGAAAAAACACGTGACCCACCTACATATACTTCTACAAGGGATGGGCGTGGCTGCGGCGCAAGAAATCAACGTCATGACGACTGCAGTCTTGCGGGAGCCCATCTCACACCTTCTGGATATTGTAGTCCGACAGGGTCCGCCCGTCCTCCAGCTGCTTGCCGGCGAAGATCAGGCGCTGCTGGTCCGGGGGGATGCCCTCTTTGTCCTGGATCTTCTGCTTCACGCCGTCGATCGTGTCCGACGGCTCCACGTCCAGGGTGATGGTCTTGCCCGTAAGTGTCTTCACGAAAATCTGCCGCGGCACACACGTAGAGAAGGAACGTTTAGTTGCACCGAGGGAAGAAAAAAGACGGGGAAGCAGTCAACTAAAAGGGACATAAAAGACACTTCCAGTCAACTTATAAAAAAAAAAAGCAAGGGATAAGGGGCCACAAGAGATTAAAGTCCTCTTCACACTATAGCCCTTCATACATGCTGGACACGTGGCAGTGGAAACTCCAGATTGTGACAGACGTAGTACCGAAAACTTACGAGATGAACAGAACCTCATGACCTCTCAAAAGACTCGCTCGCTTATTTACGTAGCAGACATCATGGTTGAAAACACTCGCGAGAAAAGAGATTGTCAAGGACCAAGGTGTGAGCAGGTCGACATGCTTCAGCGATGGCGTCTTTTCTCGACCTCCCGGGCAGCGAAAAGTATCTGACAACTGTTCGAGGGGATTTAGCCAGGGAGAGCCCCGAACGGAGGAATCCACAACTTCATTTTTTCGAACTTTGCGTCACCAGGGGTCTGCGCGGATAGACGTGGTTCGCGACCCTGCACCGAGAAGCTGGTCTACGTCACGGGTGTGCACGCTAGCGCGCGGCGGACAAGCGCACTCACGACACGAAGGGCGACACACAAGGGGACACACACGAACTTCCGGCCGAAACCTGCCAAAATCAACTCTACTTCAACCTTCACGGAGGGATTGTCGGATTTCTGTCACGACAACGCCAACCAGCAACCCAACAACGACCAAAAATAAACAAGCCAAGAGCCTTGTGAGGAGGAACGCGGTGACGGTCATCCTGTGGACGCGGCGGGGAACGCGCGTCAACGCTCTGTCCGCGCTGGTGTTGGAACGACGGGCCAAAAACGGCAAACTTCATGCCGCGCTGACAAGGCACCGAGAAAAAGGGGTGACCAGCAGACGCTCGACCCTCTTACAACATCGGTCCATCCGCTACCCATGGCCCAACCTCCTCAGTCTAGTGTCCTTGAACTCACTTGCATGGTGATACTTTTGTCTTGAATCGCTGTTGGTTTTGCGGTGCTTGTGATAGTTTGCCTGAAGGGTTGGTTCTTGGTGTGAGCGCGCGTGGGTGTGGAGACGAGGAGACGCAGTTGAGGGGGCCCTCTGCCGAGAAGTAGAGTTGGCGGGCGGGCATGCCAGGCTTCTCGATCCTTCTAGACTAGAACGATTCTAGGATTCTAAGGATCGTTCCCCTTAGTTCCGTAGGTTCCCCCGGAAACTGATTTCACCATCTCACCGCGTTGACCCACCGGTCCCGCTCTGCCTCTCCCTGTTCGCTCTTCTTGCCCGGTATTCCGATGGCCCGACCGCATGTACAACAAGCATGATCCATATACCGTACTTTTCCCTCCTGGGAGGTCACTCTTCAACGCATGACTGACTCCTCCTGCTGCTTTTCGAATTTCGAATTCATCCACCGTTCGTTACTGGTGCTTGCTGAGCCCAACGAGAGGAAGATGTACAGCAGTATGTGGCTGGATCGTAAATCGATGTTATGTAAGATCGATCGTGAATGGTATCACCCCGAACATCGCATCACCAGCAGTGCCGTGTGGTATGGGCTCCCAAACGCACCCAACCCTGTCTGAGCGGTAAGCTCTACGTGCTGATGAAAAGACGCATCTACAACCCACATGCACACCAGCAGCATCAGACTCCACATCAGATATCAGCAGCCCACGTACCGAGCCGATTAACTTAAATTATTGATTAATGCAACCGAGACAGGACGGGCCGGGCCGGGATTGATGGTGGTTGATCTGGGGTGAAAGCAAGCAAAGATTGGTGCTCGCGTATGATCTGTTGCGTAACCCCGACGCTTTCCAGCGTAAAAAATCGTGATTGATTGTTCCCGTGTCCAATCGTGTTGTTGTAGACTACAAAGTCCACTTCGACTAGTCTAGACTACACTCTAGTTCTAGTCTACTACGATTCCACACAACACCGTACGTCTGATGGATTCAATACATGGCATGAACGCAATAATTTCGGTGTACGATAACCCGAGGTGAAGGCTAATCGTCGGATCACGGTTCGCCCCGGCCACGTCCGGCTCCCGTGGGCATCGAAAACATTATTCCTCAACACCCTTGCAACACCCAACATAGTTTCTCTAAACTGCTGTACCATAAAGTACTATTTGCTGCCATACACAGACAGACGCAACCGTCCGGTCTTGAACTGCTGTCGACAAACTTCATCTCAAAGCCATCACCCAAAAATGTTCCAAACGAAAATGTTGCCATCTTCGCCCACCGACGTAAGCTGTTTGTCGTCCGGACTAAAGCTGATCGCGAGCGGGAGGACGAGGCGCGCGGGGCAAGAAGGCATTCATCGCGGAATGAGCAAGACGGGAAGGACCACCTTGCACGCTTGCAACTACGTGTGGTAGTGAAAGGCACCACCACGCATATGTTATGTGCATGAAGTGTACCAAAAGCGAAACGAAAGCACGACACAAAATCCACAATGAATGCGTTTCCCCGTCGTTTTTTCAGACTCTCTGATGATACCGTACGGGGAAGAGGAGTAGGTGGTGGACGCGTGCCTTGCCTACCCACCACCCCGCATCTGTCTCGTTGTACGCAGTCAGTGAAATCAAACACGAGCAGCAGAAATCTGGACAATTCACTCGGCGGGGTTCTGCAGCGTGGACTGGCATATAGCAGATTTGGTGTTTTTTCAGCTAACCTGAGCCCGGCAATGGCGCCTGAGTGTCCAGTCCCTTCAAAAAATAGATCGACCGTGTCGTATGCCCAAAGCTTGACTACCGCGGCGGAACCACCGGTAGCGAGGTATCGCCCGTTGTGGGACACGGCCAACGATAAACCTTCATCGTCCCTTGATTTGGAAAGCTCCTAACAATGTTCGAGCGACGAAGAGGACGCGGGGTCGCAGGCGAAGCTCTTTAGCGGTAACAAACCGAGAATATCCCCGAGCTTTGCGCAAGAAGGAGTGCTGACAAAGCCTAAGGCTGCTGCGCTTGGGAACATTGACACACAAATATCGGCGGGGAGGGGCACAGTTGTGCGTCTCCAGATAACGAAGAACCTGTGCTGGACCGAACAAGCATGCGCTAGTGAGCACCGGCCTCTTGCTCCCCCCCCCCATCCCCCCCCCCGACGGATTTTTTCACACGTTAACCTGGTGCAGGAATCAACCAAGTGCACGGACAAACGAAGTTATGTTTCAAAACGTGGCCGCCTGCTTCATCATTCCGCACGACTGTTCTCGGCAAACTGAGCTCACAAGTATTTTTGTGGCGTTCCAGTATGCCAACAATACAATGCTGTCATCATCAACCCTCTTCCAACTTTCCTTACCACTTCCCGTATTTTTCACCTTGGCCAGAACAGGGTGGTGCTCCCTAAGGTCCCAGTAGGTTACCCGCTTCTCTTGCCCCATTGTGATTACGGTGGTCTCGTCTTGCGAGAGGGCTACCGCATTTACCCCTCCCATTCTTTGCGAGTGGTGTGAAACCTATCGTTCGAAAGGAACCGTACAAGCCGGTCGCCAACGGTCGTAAGAATTGGATGTGCTTTCGTTCAATGAGGGTACTCTATCCGTTCTATCCAGACACCACCGCCGATACCCGGTGCTTGGATCTTTCGAGACAGAAACAGCATGTTGGTGGCCAGTTGTGTAGGGCGTTTTGGGTCCGAACACAGATATTGAATGAGCTTGCGACGAACCAACAAGGAACGGCAGGCGTGCCCCGAACAATCGTTCGAGTGCACGATATGCCCTGCCCAGTGCTTCTATTTCTGATGGGTTGTTGTAATCGACGTTCTATCCAGTTTACCTGGTTTTCGCGTCGCAGGTCCCAACAGATGAGAGATCGATCTCGCGACACGGAGAGTGCGTGGACGTCGTCGGAAAAAAGCGCCAGGGATGTGACCCTTTGGCCGTGCTGCTTCAAGTGACTCACCTGCCCAGCATCGTCGCGTGAGAGGGCTCGTGCAGTTGAACACACCACAACGGTAATTCTCTCTCCAGGCATTCGGCGACGAAACAACGGTGCCGATTATTATGGTCGGTGAACAGCAGTTGTACAAAGCGTACGAAACTTATCCTGAGCACGGCTTTGACCGGATAACTTATTACTTCTTCGACAAAGACACATATTGCTTTCTTACCAAGTCCCTGGATCGCAACTCCCACACCCGCAGCTCCCCCTCCATACCACCGGTGACCAAGAAGCGCTCGTTGTGGCTGACAATGAGGCTAGTGACCCCGCCAGCGTGCGCGTTGTCGATGGACCAAAGTAGGTGGCCGGTGTCCGCGTCGTGCGACCGAATCTGCCCATCTCGCCAGCCTGTCAGCATCATATCCTGTTATGGTTGTTGGAAGCATGGGCGGGTTTCGTCCGTGTGATGGGGGTTGGCACGGCCGGGATAAACAGGACGAATGCCCAGAGAGGCAGCGTCTGTGGCGGCGGCCAAGATGAGTCACTTGTCAACGGAAGCTGGCGATAGAACGCAGCATGGACGGTTCCGTAATTATTTCGGAAACAACGCGGAATCCGACAAAGGTTCCAGCACGAAGTTACACAACACCTACACAGGGTGGACGCGGTGTAGATCCTCCATGCCTTTATAGTACCTCGAAAGGCCGACAATCCTTGTGGATGTTCAACTGCTGCTCACAACGACTGCAACGCCGGAGCATGTCCACCTACCGCTTAATTTTCAAAGTGGTCGAATACGTTGCTCAGCGTCAGCATACTCGTCGAAATGTCGACTTGGTCGCGAAAACCACCCTAACCTTGCAGCGCTTAGCCAACCGATTTTCCACGTGTTTGTATGTAACAACAGTGTACGCACACCTGGGTGAGTACGAGACACAACGGCTCCCCCGCGTCCCGCACGACAGCCGTCGTCAACACCCCGTAGTCCGAAGTGTCCCACACCCGCACTGTTCCGTCCACCGAAGCCGTCGCGAAACGGTCCGACACGCCTCTCGCGTAGCTGACGCAGGTGACCGAGCCGCGGTGGTTCTCGCTAACGACGATGGAGGCCAAGGTTTCCATGCGGACTCGGTATATCCGGCCTTGATTTGTTCCCGCCACGATCTGCACGAACAGAACGGCAAGCGTCATGGACTTGAAGGAGGTGGAGCCAGTTTAGCTTAGTCTACGAGAATCGCACATTATTTCCTGGGATCACCACTACAAAACCCCTACACCATTAAGAGATGTGAAGAGGGCTCCACAATCAAACCGAACATAGAACATGAGGTTTTGGTCGTTGCTTCTGACGAGATTCACAGGAGGCGGGACCGATAGAGGGGCCACTCCCCCACAGTATCCGTTGATAATGCGATACAGTCACACCAGCACGGTGTTGTGCTTCAAATGAACGCTCCGAAAATATCGTCCCATGTTGAATGAACGATGTGGTTGTTGTCTTGCTACAGTACAAGAGGCGATGCGTCGTCACCCCACGTGCCTCTGTTCGATCGGGGCTGAATGACATCGAAACTACGCCGCCTCGTAGCTCTGTCTGCGCGTAGTCCTTACAGGCGCTATCGAACAGCGTGATTGTCCCGTCCCCTCCACCGATCACCGTTCCCCCCGCGTAACACAGGAGCGACAGGGCCCCGAGGCGAGCGGCCGGAATCGCCGTCCCAACCTGGACGGTTAGCGATTGATTTTTGTGTCTGAGTGTCAAAAAGCGTACCAGGAAGCATGACCACATACTAGCCTTCGAGCGAGAGGTACACATGCAGCGCGCATTGGGCTTCGGAGTATGCCTTTTTCAATCAATGCGGCAGCACCTGCAACTCGATCCGGACAAAGAACAACGGTATGTAGCTGGAAGCGACCGACTTTCCCTCTCACGTGGTTTGAAACAGGTTGGTGTTTTGCAAGTCATTTCCATGCTGAGACGAACCAGTAGAATAGGTGCGCCCCCTGCGGATCCCAGGTGGCGTTAGTCTACGCCCGCATGGAACTTCTCCTAAACCGAAGAACAAAATGTGTGATGTGGTACAAAGCAAAATTTCTGTCTACGTGTAGCTTTGCCAAGCCAAGCCATGAAGGCAACGCAAGGTTCCAGGGTTGAGTTGGCGCGCCTTTCACACACCATCTAATATCCGTTACTTACGTACCTGCTTTGTGCGTAAATCAACCCCGACAAAGTCCCCGGTGGAAGTCGTGCACCACAACGTCTCTCCATCCTCGGAAAAAGCAAGCGCCGTGACATCGCGCACAAGCGACCCCCTCGCCTCGCACACCACTCGATTGGCGGTGATGTCTCCGGAGTACGGGTCAAGCGACCACAGCACGATCTTCTTGTTCCCGGCGGTCGCCAGCATATAATTTCGGGTTTCACGGCGTTTGATATCCCTGATTCAAGAGGATTTTGGAGATGTGACTCCTTGGCTCAGATTTGGTGGACTGCGCCCGTCCTTGCCGTGTGCTACAGCTTTGCGTGTGTTTAGGTTCGCGTACGTTCTGGAATGCCCAAGACACCACACGGATATTCGCGTCTCTTGTGATTGTTGCGCACGACACAACACAGTAGATATACTTTCATCCCGTTTAGCTTAAAAATATACTTTAGCAGAAATCAATACTTGGCATACGGATCAGCGAATTGGTGTCCTAATATCCCTTCCCCCGCAATTGTAGTTTTAAGAGTTTGTCTTGGACTATTCGGCACGATGGCGCGAAAAGACGTCAACAATCGAACACAAAGAACAAGCACTTGCAGAGCCCCCCTCCAGACTGCACCGATCACAGGCACCGTATCTACCATGTCGTGCTGCTGACAGGCCTATATTTTGTATGCCGTTCACGACGAGACGCCAACGCCTTCATGCCGCACCTGACCATACCCCCCCATGCTGCGACGGTGGTAGGAGCGGGATCGTGCTGTACAATAGACACGATACATCCGTTGGACATATCCCATATCAAGATCTTTCGATCTTCGGGCGCGCCGCCAGATAGCAGCAAGCGATCGTCGTGCGAAAAGCCAACGAAGGCCACGCCGTGATCGTGTTCCGCGAGTCGGAAGAGTAGGGCTCTGTCTTGGAAACTCCAAACGATGACATCCGAGTTGTGTCCTCCTTGGCCAGAGGCGATATATCTTGACGAAAGTGAACGTTTGGCGGAAGTTTTGAAAGGTGATGGGGCATAAGCAAGTATTACGTCGTGCGGCAGATCCAGAGCAACTGAACTTATCGAAGTCCCACGTTAGAAGGTGTGTGTTAGCTCTCACCTCAACTACTGGTTTGCCGGATGCACGAACACTGCCTCCTTCTGTCGCTCATAAACGTTCATGACGCTTACATATTTTAACCCGAGAAGGTACCGCGCCTCTACACACTAAGCGTATGCTGAAGCAAACATGGACAGGACACCATTTCTTCCCTGCCTACTACATTGAGGCTGCTCTCAGCTCGACAGCGGCCTACAGCCGATGGAATGTTTCCGTTGTGTGTGCTGTTGACCTTTCCATGCACTGCTAACACAGTCATTTTGCGCGAGGAGAAGGCTCCCAAACAAGTTGAGTAGCAGGATCGACTACACATGCAATAACGTTCTTTTGCTGCCGGTGCAAGGTGCTTTTTCTGTATGCGTTCCTTGCCAATGGATGTTGATGTTCGTTGTTCATGTACGAGCTTCCGCCGTTTCGTGGGGTGATTCCATGGTCAATGCGTAGACGATCACCCACATTCACCTGCCGGAGCTACCGAGTGCGATACATGTGATCATTCCATCGTGCCCCGCGAGCATATGCTGCGTATGCGGGTCGCTGAAGTCGCAAATCACCACAGTACCCCCGGCGGCATAGACCAAATGTGTGCCGTTGGGATGATAGTATAGTCCCCCGGCCAGATCGGAGTACCCGATGGCATGCTCCAGCTCCATGCCGGGCGTCGATGCTGGTTGGTTCATCTGGGCAACACCGCTGCCGGCATCTTTCCCCGATGTCATCGCCATTGATCCAATCAAGGGGAGAAGCAGCGTGTCATATCCTCATCTCGCTGGCTATAGGCCGTGGATTCTCGCTGGCGCCGGCGAAGCAGCAGGGTTTCTCGTCGAAGATGTCAAACCACAACTGCCATACGGTTGCAGATGCCTTCGACCCGTCGAAACCCTCGCTTTCGAAATCCGAAATCTCGCCGCACTTGAACACTCGAAAACAAAAAAAAAAAGCAGAGTGCAGTGCTTGCGATGAACAACAAACAACACGACATTTCAGCCACCATTTAAATCACCCGTGTCTCCCGCGCGTGCGCTCGAACGGTATACATACCGTTCGTGAGAAACAGGAGAACATGGACGCGCCAGCCGAACACATGCTCTTTGTGGGGCTCGATATCGGCGGCACGAACCTGAAAGCAGGTGTGATCGACGGCACCACGGGTGGTCAATTGCTGGGCCGCACCCAAGAGAGACTGCCAGAGGATCGCTCTCCAGAGGTACGATACGATGTAAGAACAGCATGTTCTTCCTTGTGCTCCCGCCCCTGGGACCCACGCGCAAGAGTTCACCCAGCCTGGCCCTTCTACCTCACAAGTCCCTGTCTAACAACCGTCACCCGCCGTGTATGTAGTACACGAAACGAGATCCCCAGCTGAGTGCTCCGGTCATGCCCTGTCATCATGTGTGTCATCATCATTGATCATGTACAAGGCCGTAGTGGACGGACTCGTTGCGCTGTGCCGGGGCCTCCTCGACGAGCACGGGATATCCTGGGATGACATATTGTACACGGGCGTCGGCTGCCCAGGACAGATAGACAGGTAGGTCTGAGGGAAATTAGCCTGCCGGACCTTGAACCCCATGGTCGTGGTAGGGGACGGCCTTTGTGCTTGTTCTTTTTCCTGTGCAAATTCATGTCACGTGTTGGCGATGGCGGGATGGGGGTCGATGTTTTTAACCGAACGTCGGCATAAATGATGTGGCACACGTATGTCATGTAAGCACAGGGTTAATGTACATGCCTGTACGTGGGGTTCTCGGAGGTGTTCCCTTCTGTACACTACCGCAGTAGTACCCCATGCATAGTCCACTGCGGTGAACGGGCCCAAAAGACACCTCTTGCGAAGAGTTGCTACACATGTCACGCATCACAGCCGTGCAGAATTTATGTCCCGCCTCCAGCATCTACTAGACTACTCCTTTTTATCTTCGTGGACAATGAACCGAGTAAAGGTGTCACACATGTCATACTAGGACGGATCAGATCCCTACAGATCGAGCTAGCTTTTTCGGCGGTATGCGTACATCAGTCCCTTGTGATCGGTAGGACACGGGTGATCGATGTTGTTAAGCTCCCTGGTGGTCTCGACCATGATTCATCGACAACAGCGGGCGACCCTGCTGTTGTGTGACCGGTATGCATCGTAGGAACAAGCGCACCAGACCCGCGTGAAGAGGCGCGATCGCGCGACCCATCTCTGCGGAGAATCCAGCTTCAAGTTCGCACGTCATGACCAAACACCAAACACAGAGGGCAACCACTATTAATAGCAAAACACTACTGGACGCCATCATGGTCTCTCTCAGGCTAGGTTCAAGGTTCAAGGTTGGGAGTTTTGGCTATGTGATGGGGCTCGGAGGATTCGCCACACCTTTTTGAAGAGGCTTTACTGGAGTATGCTACTGTACCTCTTTGTGTCCATCGTGGCCAAGACATCCTCGGGCAACGTATACAACCACATTTAGGAAAGCCCCCGTGAGCTTCGTTTCTTGCTTTGGGAAGTGCGTCTCGACCATGCGTCTCTTCATAGGTTTACAGTACGGGTGGGCCAAATCCCCTCGATGGGAGACGAATGGATCTTGAGGTGAAGTATCGATCAGTCAAGGTTTCGCTACTACCATGAAGCGAATGTTCGCTAACCGTAAGTGCTTTTCTCAGCACCTGACCTGAATCACACGACCCGGCCTTACAACAGGGAGGCCGGCGTTGTCATCGGAGCGAGCACCTTCCCCGCCTGGCACAACGTTCCTCTGGCGAATCTGGTGCAAGACCGGACGGGACGGCCGGTATGAGAAAACAGAGGAAACGGGGGGAGGGGGGGGCGGGTACGGGAAGCCGGGGGGGGCTCATTGACTGCCTGTTTCGGTGTTGCAGCTTCGATATCGCGCAGTGTTTCTACTTGATGAGATACCGCCAATGTTTGACGTTCTGTACGTATGTTTTTTGAGAGAGTTTTCTTGCTGGAGGATGGTGCAGAAGGGCGGAAGCGGAGTCTTGATCGTACTCATCATGGCCGTCTTGCGTTCGTAGGCCGACATACAGCGGTGTCGTGGGTAGTCAAACGCGGTGTCGATGTTCACATATGTTCTTCAAGCACGCACGGTCACGAGGCCCTTTCCTTTCACCACTTTTCCTGCTGTGGCATCTACGAGTTGCACAAAGGCCATCGTCGAAAGTCGAGAATGTCTTACGCCGAGGCACCGCTGCATCTGATGCCACACACGCACACAAAGGCCAACAACATATTCCTATGCTGTCTTTGAAGTCTTGCACACTGTTGTGGCGGTTGGGCAGGTGACGGTTCTAAACGATGCCTCCGCGGCAGCCTCGGCAGAGTTCGCCAGCAGGGGAAGCCAGGAAAACATCGCGGTCTTAAGTAAGTTGTTTCATGAAGTGCACGTTTTTTCGGTACTTCACAACACGAACAGTTTTTTTTTGTTTTCGTGGACGTTGGTTGGCTTGGTGTGTCTCGTACTCTTGCCGCTGCTGCTGTTCAATCGCGCTGTGCTTCATGGTGATGTGCTGCATGGCGGTAACTGCCGTGGCACAGACCAACGGGCTGTTGCTTGCATATTGTAGCATGGTAGACGCTATTATTCCGCTGCTTGCGCTGTGTCGCGGTTTAGGTACCTGTCTGGATGCGGTGATATGCTGGAGTACATCCTGGTCGTCCCCGGGGTGTCGCCGATTTCATGGCGAGAAACGTGCCTCGAAATGTTCTAGCTACGAGGAGGGCCACCGACCTTGGTTTTACGTCCCCTCCATCCGCTTACCTCCTGTGACACATCTCCCCACTCCCGCGATTATATTATTATTATTTTCTTCATTTCTTGGCCACCGCAAACAGCGCTGGGAACAGGCATCGGGCTTGGGGTGGTATGCGCCGGGCGTGTGGTGACGGGCTGCAGAGGTCTAGTCGAAGGGGGGCACATGGTGAGTTGTGGAGCGGCGAGAGATCTAAATAACATCTTCCCGTTCGTTTTCGATGGCTGCACATCGTTTGTCTCCATTTAGTTTGTAGATACGTGCTGCTGACTCCAGGCTTCCCGGGCTAAAAGGGACGCCGTATTTGCAATCATCTGCCCACACAGGTTTCGTGCGCATCCCTAGACGGGTTGGGTTAACTTTCAGGGCACTGTTTTTCCGCGGTGCCTTCTACCATACTTACGTATGTGTGCTGCACGTGCTACTCAGACAGGATACAAAGGCGAGCGTCGTTGTACGGGCCAAGGGGGTGGTCACCGTTGCGGCGTTGTTGGACCACGCTAATGACGGGCGTTGGATTTGCGCGTACGGCAGGTTGGATAGTTTCCAAGAGTGGGGAAGGAAGAAAGCCAAGCACGACAGTGGTGGTGCTGTATCACGTGTCATACTGTCAGCTGCGGCCTTTCTCGAGTTGTTTGCTTTTCAAGCCTTTTAGCGCTCATCTGCGCGGACTTCTGTTGATACTGTCGTCGTCTTCGTTGTTTTTGATGGTGATCGTGTTAGTTCTAGCACTCGTTTCAGCTCGGTGTATTTTGCGCAGGGCTGGGGTGCTAGCCTCCCAGAAAAGGATGGTAACTTGGCCGACTCATCGACAGTGCTGGGGGCGGTTCTGTGTTGCAACGGCGTCGCATTTTGGTCCTGTTTTCGGCGTCACCGACTTCGAACCTCTCCAACGCAACGTTTGATTGTTGCATCGGGATGCAACAACACAACACACTCGAAGCCATGGAATGCTCTCGAGGAGGCCTCACCTCCGCGGCGACCTTCCCGCCCCTGATCTTCAGGTGTAGACGCACGCTCTGTCGCGCACAACAATGTTTCGCGGCATGTGTTCTCACGTGTACCAGATACCACCCCACCCCACCCCCAACCCAAAGTGATATCGGTAGGAAATCTAGGGTAGGGACAACATTTTTGGGCCACCTGCGGCAAAGTAGGAAATACCGATTGATCATCGGTGATCGGTCCTATGGGAACAATGCTCCGTTCTCTCGAGCACGCGCGGTCAATGGTTTAACCGCTAAGGCACGCGACAACATGGGTACCCCCCCCAACCCTACCGCCTTATTCCCCTCTTTCGCCTCCTGGTCCTCCTCAGATCGTGGAACCGGGGCCGAACGGCCGCCTTTGCGCCTGCGGTCAGCGCGGCTGCCTCGAGATGTATGCCTCCGCCTCCGCGGTGGCGGCTATCGCCTCCGAGCGCTTGGGTAGCGGCGGCGGAAACCTATTCCCGGCACCCTCGGACACGCCTTACTGCAACGGGGAAACCGGGGAAGAGCCGGACGCGGTCGCGCCTACTACCCCTACGCACGGGTCGCCGGGGCTCTCCAGACGAAGGGGTTCGATCAACAGGTCGGACTCGGCGGTCTCGCTTCGGATCATGGAACTGGAGCGTCGGACGAGCGCCGAACAGCGGGCTTCGGCGCCGGCATCGCCGTCGACCCCGGCTTCAGCGGCCGGGCGGCGCGGCAGCCGTCTGAGCGGGGGAGGGACAAAGATCACGGCAGCGGATGTATTCTCGATGGCGAAGAAGGGGGACGAGGTTGCGGTTCGGGTGGTGGAGGAGACTTGCGACTTCCTGGGGCTGGCCTGCGTGAACATCTGCCGCGTGCTGGACCCGGACGCCATCCTGCTGGCGGGGGGCATGTCAAAGGCCGAGGGGCTGTTGGAGAAGGTGCGTGTGGGTGTTTCCGTCGTCAGGAGTCGGTAGTCGGTATGAGCACGCTCAGGAAGGGACAGTGCACAGCGAGAGGGGGAGATAGTTAAAAGGCAGGTTGGCATGCAGACGTAACAGACAGATGGACAAGAAATTTTTAAGGAAGAGACAAGTGTTGAAAGAGGGATAGTTAAGATAGATATGAGATGGATAGAGAGAGGGATCGAAAAAGAAATAGAGATGGGAGAGATGGAGAGATCGATGGGCAGGCTGTCGAGATTCTCCCTACTTGCAGGTTGCCTTGCCATCCTAATCCCAGCCACTGGCTTCTCGCTGACGCCTTTTCATTGGTCAGCTGGTTGACGCGGTCGATGCCAATAAACAAGCACACACACACACATGCCATGCGCAGGCAGGTGCCCGTGCCCGATGACATGGCGCGGAGTACAGAGACAATCGTCAACGCCAACGTGTCAAGACTGCTGAATATCCGTCATGAACATGTGATTCTCTTCACATCGCCCCCCCCCACCCCGGACTTCTGATGCCGTAGGTGCGAAAGTCGTTCTCGTCGAGGGGCTGGAAAGTGCTCCCCCACGAGTGCGAGATCGACCTCGCCAAGACCTGCGTGGATGCGGGCGTGATCGGCGCCGCTGGCGCGGCGTGCTGCGAGTACGCTCTATCGGTACGCCGCCCTCGCAGACGACCATCGTCGGATTGCGGCAGCATTACCGAGCGTTCGAATGGGGGGCTGCAGGGCGGGAAGCAGGGGGCGCACAGCGCATGGAGAGCGTTCTTAGCTGGGGTCGGGGTCGGGATTGGGGTTGGTGCGGCTGCTGTTGCTGTTGCTGTGATGGCGGGTAGAGGTGGCCGTGGTGGCTCCATGTAGCGAACGTTTATTGCTGCGTCAGATGGTGTTTCCGTTTCATCCAAGAACAATTGTGTAGCCTCGATGATGTAACGTACTGGACGGCACCCGGGTCTACTTGGATATCTCAATTTCATGGTCGTGCTCGGTTTTAGGATACAAAAATACTGCTTTCGAGACAAGTCAATCATCAGTAGGTGTTTTCTGTTTTTTGTCTTGCTTCCGTATGTCGGTGTTTGGTTTGTCAATGTCGGTGACGAGTGTGTTTTGGGACCGCTGATATCCAACGTTACTTCTTTTGTTTGTTGGCCGCGTGTATTTTTTCTTGTGTAACTGCTGCGTAACAAAGATCTGCGTGCAGGTTTGTCAGTGCTTCAGGTACTACGTTGATACCTTGCATTGCGTGTGGTATGCCACGATACGATAGCAAACGATAAAAATAGACAAGATTTGTATTTGTGCCTTTACTACGGTACATGGTTTTTATTATTGTTGCTTCGGAGAAGACGTGCACAGAAGACTTTGGTGGAGGTGACAGTATGCTTCCTCGTTGTACTCATACGTGTATACTGCGTAGCTGCAGGTGTTCCAAGCCACCGGAGAAGACGCGCACGTAGGCCTGCTTGTGATCATGGGATATTCAAAGAGAGCGCGTGGGTGTCTTTGTTTCCGTGCCTCGTGCGTACTTAAGGGTGCTGTCGCAGACGCACGCGCGCCGGTTCTGGAGAGAACGAGGCAGGAGTATCTGTTTGCTGTTGGACACGGGGAGCGCCCTCTCGGTTAGTGGTGTGTAGTCTATAGTCTATATAGTCTAACGAAGGGAACGAGCGTTCCTTTTTTCTCTCTTGTTGCGGTACCTACCCAGGCCCAGGTGCTTTCCTTCGCCTGCGGCACGGTAGCGAAGAAAACGCACTTGATAAAACCATCATGTGTCTGTCCCGCACGAGGCAATGCACGGCGTGGAGATGCCGCACTGCTGTTGCTTGGGGCGCGTGGTGGTGGGTGCCGATCTGCAGAGACTTGGGGTCCACATCCTATGCGATGGGCTATTAACGAAGGGCCCTTGATGATGTGACGCTCCATTTGCGTGGTTCTCGTCGGTAAACGGACGGCGTATGCATACGTGACGGCTTTTTCCATGTTATATTCTGGTGGCATGAAGGGGCAGATAGATGCCTGTCAGACCGACGTTCCTTTTCTCCACGGGCTGCTTGACGCGTCGCACAAGGCCTATGCCGGACACCCAACACGTACAAAACATTTGTGTTTGAGAGGCCACACCCTCAATCGTGCCATGCAGCTGGGCTTCGAAAAGAAAATATTACGTTGTTTTGTCCACTGGTGCTGGTGGCTTGTGTGCCACCTTGTACCTGCCCCACCCCCTCTCCCCCCTACCTCGCGCTTGACACACGTACCCCAAGGCACCTACAGCGCGGCCGGAAGGGCTTGTGACGTATTCATAGGTTTTCCTACAACCAGAAGCTTATCTCTACGCGGGCATGCCACGTCGCGTGCACGTGGCGGAATTGCCTGTTTACTTCATGGATTGTCAGATAGAACCACATTCCAAACATCCAACGCGGCGGTATCGCTCCATCACGTGGGGGTTCCGGACAACGAAGACGTGTTTTCTTCGGAAGGCATCGGGAGACCGTCTCAGTTAGCGCCCGCGATTAGGAAACAAATCTGTAAGAACCAAAGGTCAAGATTTTGGCGACAAACAAGATAAATTGACCAAAAAGCACACCTCAGTCGTGGATCTTCAATATAAACTCTTAAATAAAAAAGAACGGGTGGTCTTAGTCTTTTTATGAGGTTATGTTTCCTTTCTAAAAATACAAATGAAATAGAAAAGAACGCTCGGCGGTGGTGACGAAATGCAAAATTGAGCCTCGACCCCAAATTGACGTTTCTTAGACGGGAGCGCTAGCGCTACATATATGGTGTTGCGTGTGTTTTCGTCCTGTTTATTTATTATGGCGACAGTCCCCCCATTTTTCGTGGTGAGACGTGTACTGGTACACTTTGGTAGCCACCAGCGTAGCCACCAATCCAATCCAATTCAAAGCACCCAAGAAACGATGCAGCTTAGCACCAGACGAGCCGCTCGCTCACATGCCGTGAGGGTTCGTGCGTGGTGCTCTTCCTCGTGAAAGCATTGGAGGGAATATCTACTCTACAGAGAACAGAACAAACCGTTTGGACACCAATAAGAGCAATATTCCTGAAGCCCCCCTCCAGGGTTTTATTTTCTGCTGCGGCTCAAAAACTGAGCAGAGAGGAGAATCTACTGGACTAATCCTACCCCGGACAAACCGAGGGCGGACTAAATACGGTGGCACTCTCTGTAACCTGACGTGATCCCAATTACAGACAACGACTGGAATAGGCAAAACACGACGGGCTTCCAGCCGCCCACACCAGGCACAGCTGCTCAAGTTACTGGGTGTACAGGCACCGCCCAACGAGTTGCTAAGTTAGGGCCTGAAAAAGATTAAGACCACCTGAAAAAAGGTAGTATCGAGAATGTCTTCGTAGATCAATCAGCATCGTTGCCCGAGGCAAGCTGCGTTGCCAATGGGTGTACAGACACACCGTCCGACGAACGCGAAGCTAGGACGGACAGAAAGTAACATGTAGCAAGCAACCGGTCGACTAACGCAACCGAGAAATAATACTTCCACTCAGAAACACGTCGGTGTACCGGGTAGCCCCGGCACCAGGAGGCGCGTGGCAGCATCCCCGTTCCTTCAACGTAAACAACAAACGCCATACAGACATAAGACGCTACGGGGACATACACAACCCTCCCGCTTTGCTCACACCCAAGAGTGGTTTGAAGCGCTGGGATAGACGCAAACGCTTACGATCTGCTACCGCTTCTACGGCAACAACGCTTCAGGAAATAAAGGCGGAAAAAAAAAAAAAGGAGTCCCCACGATGTCACGGCATCAAGATACCGGTGACATTACTCCCGCTGCCGACCCCTCCCATCCCTATCTCCGAGTGTTCCCGCCTCTGCCGCCGGGCATAACGAGTAGCAACCCATGCAGAACGAGCAAGTACACCAGGAGCAGGTGCCGCCGGAAACGGTTCCGCAGAACGGTCCCCGAGGCTAAGAAAAGCCACCTCTCTAGAAACCCCATCTGCCCGCGTCTCGCCTCCTTCTCCTCTTCTCGGTGCGGGTGCGAGTCAAGGCAGCACGTAGAGGAGCATGGGGGGGGCAACCAAAGGCACACGCCTCGATGATTAGAGGTTAACTTGGCCGATTTACGTGGAGCATGAGGAGGAAAACCATGCCACAAGCTTGGACGATTAGAGGTTCGACTTGGGGGCCGCGTTTTATGGTTTGGTTCATCACGCTTTATCAGCGCTCACCAACACAGCCATGGAAACAGGAATACAGGCGACGTTAGCCAGATATCGACAGTATATAGTAGAAGTCGGTACCACTGCTGGAGGAGTGGAAGCACACGTGACGCCACGGAAGCACGGGTCGTTGGCTGCCTGCGGTTGGTCCCAAACCATTCGTTGTCATACGACGAACGCAGAAGGTCATGTAGGAGACTCAGCTCGATGGGCAAACATTAACATTTCATCGTCCGGAGAGCACACCAAGCGACACCAGGCGACACCACACGGCACGGCGGAACCAAATTGTATTCGTTCGCAATGGATGTCTTATTGTGTGTTTGTTCTTCCAAAGACTTGAAAAGATAACAGAAAAAAAACACCTGAACAAGCCATCTATCTACAAAAGGAGTGCAACCTCGAACTAGCTCCAACGTCAAGCCGCACGGAAGCTACATAATTGCCCAAGTTACTTTCGAATGGGGGTGCTCTATTTATAGCGAGACCTATACACGTAGACGAGAGATCGGCTCAACGTGGATGTACATATGTACACATGACTTACGAGAGTCGAACTCCTTGAACGGGTCAAGGTCTGCCTCGTACAGCCGTTCGTACTTGCTCTCCGTCTCTCGCTCCCCGTCCCCTCCTGCATCCTCCGACCCGCCGCCGCCGCCCTTCCCGCCGTAGCTCATCACGAACCTGACACGAAGGGGAAAAACACCGACAGGACCCATAATCGCTGGAAGGGTTGGACAAACGATCGTCATGAGACGCACTCGATCTCCCTCCCCACGCAACATACACAAAGGGCAGGGTCACGTACGTACAGACGTGCGCCACTACTGTACCGTCGACCCTAACCCTACCCCCGATTTCGCCCATTGTGTTCTTCATCCAGTATGTTTGCTTACGTAGGAACACTTGCGCAGACTACTGACCGCCAAGCAGACAGATGGCAGTGCGGAAAACATGAACCAAGAGGCAAGTTCACGAACAATCCGCTTGCCTCATCTTCTTGTACAGGTGCATGTTCTCCCGCCTCAGGTCTTGATTGTCCCGAGTTAGTTGCTCCGCATTCCCCTTGGCAATGGACGCCTCCCGTTCCCGCCGTAACGCCTCTTTGCGGAACCGCTCCCTCTGCCGTTTCACCTGAAATGTCCGCATGTATTGCCGTTGAAAGAAAGAGATACTGTCGGTGGAGCCGTTGAAAGATCTTGCTCACACGCGCACGAATATTGCTAAGTAAACAAATCAGCGGCGCTTCTCATGATGATGGTGGGCATAACCCACCCTCCCGCCGTCTTCTCCGACATAGTTCGAATACGTAGGCTGTGATCGATAGGTTCCCTCTGGCTAGTGAGGCTGCCTGCTTTTGGGGGACATGTTTCTGCACCAATTCAACAGTTGGTTCCGTATATATTGCACCCTACGTTTCCTTTGACAGCCGGTAACACCACATAAACGAGACAGCAGTAGTCGCTGCACACGCTTGTTGGGGCTCCAAGAGGCCACACACCTACAAACGAAGGCGTTATCGCTTACCATGCAGCACTTTAAACCCAAAGAGTCCAACATTGCTTTGCTATTATATTGTTATTATCTGTTTACAGTAGGGGGGCCTCTATAGTGCCGGTATGTGTTCAGAGAGCAAAGCGGTACTATACCGGGCACCGGCACTATTCAGAGTACAGAAAGACTTGATATTCCGGTGTGTGCGAGCCGAAAACACCGGCACTATACCGGCAACCGGCACTATTCAACCGGCACTATATCGGGCCACCCACTGTATTTCATAACGCCAACCTCGCGGCGACTCATTCGCCAATCACATTATCCGACAACGACGCCTACTGTTCGCGGGAGCGTTGGCAAGGCAGCCGGACGGGCGACTCCCGAAACGACTGATGTTCGGCGAACTGGCAGGGGGGGAGAAGCGACGGAGGGGGGGACAGGAACAGAACTGGCCGAAGTGTGTGCTCGACGACCTGAAGGCATTCGGGGCCGACCACGGATCTACGAAACCCGATCCATGTTGTTTCGGAATCCCGGTACCAAAAGACACGGCACCGACGTTAAAGTAGACGGAAGCCGCGAAGGTAGAGGGGGGAGTACCCTGGCATGCGGCGGTGCTGCAGGGAGCTGAGAGGTTCATGACCTCCTGGCACGAGAAGGAAGAAGAGGCCAGCCGACAACGGGCGCTCAAACGAAACCACAAGCCACCAACCAATGGGGCGGGAGGGGGGCAGGAGACGGACGAGACGGCGAGGGAAGAAAGCAAACGAGAAGAGACGGACCGAGTGGCGCGGTACGTGCTGGATTGAATTTCTTCTAGCCAATTCCTCCTCCCCCAACGCTGCGACTCGCGGAATGTCTCACGGCGATTCGCGCCTGGTGATGTGAGAGCCTGGTCCGGTGAGAACCCGGCGTGCTCCGTCCCGGCTTTGTAGGGATGCGAGGTCAATGGTCTAACGACTACGGCATGCACGACTATGAGTACA